CCGCAGTGGGTATTCCCCACCCTGCCTTGATGGGTGTCCTGGCCCCATGGGGATGCCCTAGATACCCCTCCCCAGGTCTCTGCCCCATTGGATGTTCATCCCCAAAGTCCCTGCCCCTCTGGGTAAGCCCAACCCCTGGGCCCTTGCTTCACTGGATCTCCATCCCCTGTGGTCCTCATCGCCCTGGGCCTCCATCTCATGATCCCCGTTCCATGGGGCATCCATCCCCTGCATCCCTGTCCCTTTGCGTGCCCATCTCAGGGTCCCCACCCCCCCTGAGGACCTCCCTCCATCCCATCCCCACCTGTAGATGAGCTTCCTACGGACGCTGCGTTTGAAGAAGCCGCTGCAGCCGTTGCAGGCGTAGATGCCGTAGTGCTTCCCGCTGCTGGTGTCCCCACACACCTTGCACAGCAGCACCGGGCTCAGTGCTTTGCCGGGAGCTGGGCTCAGCCCTGCGGATGCGAAGCCATCACATCTAGGGGTGACTCAGGACATCCCAATGGTCCTTGTCCCTCCTACCAGTCCCTCTCTCCCCCTCCTTCAACATCATGGTGACAGGGTGCATCCCACCTCCCCAGGTCCAAGGATGTCTCGAAGGAGTTGCCCGTGGGGTTGGGCATCTCCCCATGTCCCAAGGGACAGGGACATGGGGTGTCCCAGTGAGAGGACTTTGGGCATCTTAGAGAAGGTCCAGGGCAGGGGACCACAGTGATCCCGGCAAAGGACTGGGGACCAAGAACATCCAGGAGGTTGTGGCTGGGAACCACAGACAACCTGGAGAAGGGTCATGGCTGAGGACCCCGGGGATCCTGGAGAAGGGCCATGGGGATCATGGAGAGGGTTGGGGGCTGCAGGCATCCTGGCCCAGAGAAGGATCACAATGGACCCCCTCAGTATCTTAGAGAAAGCTGATAGCTGAAGACCCCCGGCATTCTGAAGAAGAACCAGCCATCCTGGGGGACCATGATAGGGAAGCCGGGCATCCAGGAGAAGAACAGAGGAGAGTGCCAGGTATCTCAGAGAGGAACCACAGTGGGGACCCTGGTCATGCAGGAGGACGACCATGATGGGAACCCAGGGCATCGTCAAGAAGGACAGTGATAGGAAACCCAGCCATTGTGGAGAATTATCTTGCTGGGGACCATGGGTATCTTGCCAAAGGAACATGATGGGAACCCCAAACTTCCTAGAGAAGCTGCAGGATGGGGACACTAGGTGTCTTGGAGAAGGACCATAATAGGGAGCCCAAGGTATCTTGGAGAAGGGCCACAATGGGAACCAAAGCCATCCAGGAGAAGGCCATGATGGGGATGTTGGGCACCCTGAAGAAAAACCGTGACAGGGACCTTGGTCATCTCGGTGAAAAACTACAGTAAGAGACCCCCAGGCATCTTAAGAGACGGACCATGATGGGTACTCCAAGTATCCCAAAGAAGAATCATGATGAAGACCCACAGGAATCTTGGAGAATGCCACAGACAGGGACCCGACCATCCCAGAAAAAGACACCCGCTCCTCCGGCAGAACCCCACCACCACCACCTCTTACCCGTGGGGCTATTCTCATCCATCCCGGCGCTCACCACCGACCCCGCCGGCGACGTTGCCATCCCGTCTCCCACTTCTCCCTCGCCTTTCCCTTTCGGCTCCACCAAGGTGGTGGGTTTTCCAGGGGGTTTGTTGGGTTTCTGGTTGAGGTTGGTGGGTCCTCCTGCAGCTCTGCGGCTGGCGGGGCTCTCGCCTTGCTCTCTTCAAGGCAGCTTAG